TCAAAGGAAGCCGGATCAACCACTCCAAAATTCTCAGACCCTGGCCTTGAAGCTCTTAAGAGCAATAATGGTGAGCTAAACGACGCAGATGTTACGAAGAAGGAGGTGATTGGATATTTGCTATTCGAATACCCAAATGAAGTTGTTCCAATTGAATCTTTGAATCTTAGTAGATAACTTGCACTATTTAGTAGCAGTTTCAATCCGCTTTTTCATAACACTTCCAATTCAGAACAGTCATCTGCAGCCGCCGTTGAGTCCTGCTTTGGTTGAAGGTGGTAGGAAGAGTCCGCATCACAGGCCAATCGTTGACAGAGGAAAGGAGATGATTCACAAATTGCTAACGGAGAGCGACAATGCCAACTCCCGTCCTCGACTTGGATCGGAGCGTCAATATGATACATTCACAAAACCCGTGGACGACGAATTACAGAAGACACGCAGCTTCGCTGATTTCACGGACGAAAAGATGGATCAGGTTTGAAGTGAAAATTTCCAAAAAAAGCTTCGTTCTCATATTATGACTTGATGTACTCAAAGATCTGTTGGTATACTTTCACTTATTCATATCTGCATTTGTAGTCGAGTCCATTCCGTGCAACCCGCGAAGACGTATTCTGTACAAATTCACAGGAAAGCATCGTTGAGGATGCAAACGCGTCATTCGATGATGACATTGCAGCTGCCTTCACCCATCCCTTAGAGACAGTGACAAAAGTTAAAAAGGTAGTTTCCAAAATTTATGTTTCAAGGTGCGTACGAGGCAGAATCTCCTTTTCTTGGTCGTTACCATGTGGCAGTAGTCATATCATTTTCTCATTTTGTTCAGGCTGACACTCACATTACAACCACAAAGGAGCAGAAGCCAGCCGAAGCACAGGCGAGAGTTTACTTGTTGCTGATGAAATAGTAACCAAATTTGTCAAATTATAGAACAGTGCCCTTTCAGAACGGTTTCATTACATTTTGCAGGGCAAATAATCGGAACCCTCTGAACTGGTTCCGGTGGACACTCTTCTGCACCTAGAATTATTGGTGGGGCGATTTCTGCCGCGGTGTGCCAGATACGCCTACTTGGACCCCCTCTCAAATACGCCTACTTGAACTACTGCTTACCCTACCACTTACCCCTCTCATAGAACATCTGTTTCGGCGAGCTTTATCTTTGGTGTGACACACAGTCAGTGCGATTTGCAGTCACCATGAACGAGTGTGCGACAGGTTAGCATCCCAAAAATTAGACTTAATCATCTCAAACATGCTGCCTATAGTTTAGATGGCGAGTCGACAAGAATTAAGGAGCTTATCATTGTAGAAGTGTTCGCAGTAATGGTTCCACTTACTCTACTCCTCCTCCCTCCAACCGCTGTCAAGCAGCATAAATTATCATTCAATGAGTTCAGCGGCCTTATATAATAACACTAACCTTATCATAATGAGAGCCAATGAAGAATGAAGCTTCGGAACTATTTTCTTTGGTGAAATGTTCATTTCTGATTTTCTGACATGAAGCAATCCAGTGTACAGGTAACGGCAACACCAACAAATACTATATAACAATCTCATCGCCCTTTGATGACCTCGAAGAGGAGCGTCAAAGAAGAACGATCTCAATAACTCGAAATACTAGATAATCGGATGCGATGATTGAAGTACCCTTCTCACAGAGTAACTTTGACTGTTTGTTGGTTTCAGTTATGATGGATTTCGATAACAGAGCTGAGTCGATAACTAGCTAAACTTCTGCGCTTGGAAACGTCTGGAATGGGCAGAAATCCGGACCAAGATGAATGCTTGCTGCAATTATGCAAGCGTAGTATAGTTTCAGAAAAAATATCGTTACCACTCATTTGGTGCGCGTTTTCGTAGCTTGAGGAGTTCAGGGACTACTGGAACTTTCCTCAGTACTCCCGAATGGCTAGGGCGCAAACGATTAGAGAACGGCGCCCACCTCAGCTTTTAATGGTCGTAAAGCGGCAGACGAAGCGACGCGACGGAAATGGTGCAGACTCAGAAGTGAGCTGCGCGAGTGCTTTCCTGCAATTGTATGTCGGTAAACACTCTCAGCACGCGAGGTCCAGGGCAGCCTCAATGCCCTCAGTTTGAGGCCGAGTCAAATAGCGTGGACGCCATAGACAATGCATCATACTCGCATTTTACAACTGTGAATGTCATTATTTAAAGGAAGTGGTCACGATAATTCTTATAGGGACGATAAGGAAAGCTGTGTACTGGAGTGGATAGGGTCCTGCCCAATGTTAGAACACGTAAAGTTTCAGTGGCAGTGGCGCCTTATCAATGAAGTGATAAGGCGCCGAAATCCACTTCCGTTCAGCAAAAACCAAGACTTATCGATGTGGAAAGGGGTGCGATAAGAGCGTGCTAGATATGATACCGTTATCGTTATCGTCCCGTTTTCATTCTGGAGTGCACCTCTTATCAAGCAGCCGCACCTTCTTATCTCATCGTATCATATCTTCCATGGGCTTACACTCGTCCAACAATTACTGCCTCACACCTTATCGATTGATAACGCGAGGGTAGCAAATCCAGCGTGGAAGCCAGCGTGATCGCTTCCTTTAAAGAACCCAGATCAACTGTTGGGGAAGTAGCAGTCGATCTTATGTGTGGATACCGAGTTGTTTGGATATGAAAAAAGTGCAAAGGAAAACCGCCTATGAAGCCTTCACTAATGACCCCTCCTTGGCTACCTTGTGACGAGGAAGGCGGTGTACAGACAAGTTCAAAGTGAGCGCCAGCCTTATTGATCGGTGCATGTCAATTAATCGATTGTGATGCGTTGTTCATTATCTATTAATCATCCCTATCTTATCGCCTACGTCGTAATCCACCAGATGCATGCGACCTTCCCGCTGGCTGTGAGGCGTGTTAGTCAAAAGCCGGACGGACCGGAGTTGGCGCCTATCCAATGCCTTATTGTTAGCACTTTTTGCTCTAGCAGCACTTCATGTCTTTTCGACTAGGGCCCATTCATCGTTTCACTGGATTATTAGCAACTGTATGCACCTCCCTGATTTTGCCTTGGAGGAGATAGTCAGTAGATTCAGGTAGATTAGTTATGCTCAGAGAAGACACCCAGAGAAACGGCCTAGAACCGAATAGATTCTTTCTTACCCTGTTGCTCCTGTCAGGCCGTTGAGGGCACACTGTTCGCTGCGAAACGCGCATCGTCCCCATCCTTACGGAGGGAGGAGGTGCTGCCTTTCGACTGGGTATATTTCCCTTTCTTCGACTTTCGACTGATCGTGAAATCCGTCTTCAAGTTGTATTGCTTTCTTTCCTTTTTCAGAACCTAATAAGAGTATGTCTGCTAGTGGAACTGGCAACGAGTTTGCAGAAGTCAATGAGAAAACAAGTGGTGAAATGGAGGACTTTGACTATCCTAAATCATCGCATGTTTTAGAAGCTATTCAGGAGAAGGTCATTAATTTGATAGTACATCTCTCTCATTCAATCATAAGGTTTTATTTACTTTAGAGTGAAGAGTTGGTTGATGGTGACACAAGAACAGTGAAGGAAAAGGAGTCGGGGTTAGCTCATCCCATAAAGGAAGAAATTGAAGAGAATATTGGAGAAGTGAGGAACTTTTCCTGCAATGACTCCAGTTTTCTGTGTACCATTCGTGGGCTTCGTGATCCAGTAAAGCATATTTCAGCCTCCTACTGAAAAGGCGACCAGGGCGTCGGAGGAGCATCCACCTCAGGTAAAGCTTTTAGATTTTCCCCAATTTTTCATATACATCATGCAGAGTATTTTTTAGCAACTTGTGTAAGTCAGCATAGATGTCTGCAAGTATTTTCAGCTTACAGGAAGCGCTCAAAATAACGGAAACCTAGGAAACATAGAATTTGATAAATAACGAATGAGTTCACTCTGGTTAGCGGGTAAAGGATAAAGCATTCGACGTTGGTTAACACGTTGACGACATCGCGCGTTTTGGTTTTTTTGGCCGCGTGGGACCAGAGCGATTTCTGCGAGCGCCGCCGCCTCACACAAATCGTGAATTTTGAGCTTTAAATACGCAAAACTCGATGCGACAGAATTTTTCTAATATCTGATGTGATAAACTTCTCAGAACGTACAGTTGTAAATATTCCACCGAAATCACTTGTTGTGGGCATGAAAAGGCAAATTTTGCTTACTTTCGCTCTACTGATTCTAAAATTATTTTGGACGTGGTTGTTTGAGTAAAAACGCATTCCTTGAAACATTTTTATCTACATGTTCGCGTTAATGAAAAGAAAACGAGGAATGAACTGAACGGATATTTTCGTAAGGTCCGGAAAACCTCTGCCAAACTAAAGAATATTTGGTCATTCTGTAAGCCGCGTGGTTCTTGGTTATGTTGATGTATGGCCTATAAAATGAACACAAAAAACCTGGGAAGAAATGGCGCGTTCAAGAAAAAACTGGTGTGGCATACATATGTAGTTGCTACAAGGTCCGATGAGATGCAAAAATGGCGGCACATATAGTTGCCGCGCTGCCGTCAAGGTGTACTCTATTTTGCGATATGTAGCGCATCCTGTTCTTTCCGAATCGCGGTGGTATTCTAGATGCGACTCGCTTTCCATGGCTTGCGGGGGTGGGGCAGCCTTCAGGTTACTGTGTTTTCGTCCTGTCATAAAAGTCATGGACCAATATTGCATCTCCGGAGGAATGGTCGGCGTACCATCAGCGGTTTGACCCGTATCGTACGCGTGGAGAGCAACACCACTTGCCTCTGCACCACCTCTGCCCCTTAAATTCAGGTCATGAACATTTTTTTCTTCACTACACATCAAGAATAATATTCAACATGTACATTTGAATGCACCCTGCTAGTTCCGATGCAGGGCTTTGGATTACTTTGGGAGGCATTTATCGTGGCACACTTGCAGATGTCTTCGGCTTCATCTCTGGCCGGAACAAAAGCAGCCTCTGCAAGGATTCTGAATTTCCGGGCGCCTTTTGCAGGCTTCGTATCCCGTACTTCAGAGACATCGATTGAGAGGATTGAATGATTATAACGATAATGTTGGTGTCATATCTACTCTACGAAGGAACGGTTGCGATTGCTGGGAAGGAGCCCAAAATGTCTAGAAGTCGGCTCGCGTAGTGACCGACGGTTGACCGGAAATTCAGAATCCTTGCAGAGGCTGCTTTTGTTCCAACCCATTCACGAGGGAAAGTCATTAGGTCGGTCAAGCCGTATGCAATGAGGTATACGCTCAAACATTCGTGCCGCAAGCTATGAACTACTTCTTTTTTGTGCTAAACGGGGCTGTAAATGGAGTGATGGATTTCTACTCAACGGTGCTTACATGCCATCACAAAACGACGTCCTTATAAGCCACGCGAGTGAAGAAGTTTTCGGTGCAATAGCGAAGGTGTAGCGGTCCGTATTGCAGGAAAGAAGTTATGGGATCGATTCTTCGCGGTGCCTGCTCTTTTCCCTTTCTAACAAATGGCTGAAATGGCTTGAAAAGCTAATTTATCAGCAGCTGCTACATTTGGCTGTATGAAGAATTTTCAAGCAGCCTACTACAGGTTTGGCCTCTATTTTCCCATGAATGCTCACGATGTTCATACATTGGGCTCTAGGCGTTTTTGCTGCAAGCAAGGATGACAATTGTGTTCAAGCCATCAGGGGCCGTAAGGTATGCTTCCCCGAATGCTTGCGGGGACGAAAGTCCCTTTAAATTTTTTGTTTTGAACGACACTGTTTCTTTATTCTCAATGCATGTTTACTTTAAGCAACACATATATTAAATGTAGGCCCTTTATCAGGACAATCCCAGTTGGGACGACAGAGAAAATTTAAAGGGATTTTCGTCCCCTAACCCTTCGGGGAAGCATACCTTACGGCCCCAGAGCGTCAGATAACCTCTTGGTGACGATCTTAAACAGCCTAATTGTTATTTTGACCTCACTTTGACGAAGGGGACAACCACTACTGGGTAGGCGCACCCAGGTGTGAATGACAAAGGGATACAGAAGTGACGAAAACACTGCCAGCATCAAGGACGGTTTTATTCACGATGAGACGCTTCTGGAAGTGGTGGGCCAACCCTTTTTGTCGGTGCTCTCAAATCATAATATGGAAATAAAGGGACGACTTCACCATTCTAAACTTATCTCCATAAATTTGGTATATGGTAGCATCAGATGGATAAAGTTGTTATTGCACAAAAAAACTTGAAAAACGATGAACGTGATCTTGCATACCGTTTTCGCAATAATATATTACCAGTTTGGCTGCGCACGCATTCGCGTGCATGAGACGGGGCTGCAGCGGTAAAATCGGGCCCATCAGTATTTTTGTCTTGATTTTAGCTTTCTGCTCGGTACATCTTACTTACGCCGCAAACTCCGCCCACATCCGGGTGTGCCACGCCCAGCGTTCACATTCAACCTCTACTCCTACTTTCACCTCTGGCGTATTTTTTTTCAGGTCTCTAAGTCATCTCGGAGCCGAATTATGAGGTCTTGTAAATGGCGTTATGAGTCACGAATTTCTGAGGCAGACCCCGCCCACTTTGGTGCATGGTTAGCCCAACAATGGCATTCAACCCTACTCCATACCTCAATACTTATGCACATTTTCCCCGGTCGCCGGAACTTCTAGGAACCGAGTTATGAGAGCGGTGGCAAACTCCGCCCACATCCGGGTGTGCCACGCCCAGCGTTCACATTCAACCTCTACTCCTACTTTCACCTCTGGCGTATTTTTTTCAGGTCTCTAAGTCATCTCGGAGCCGAATTATGAGGTCTTGTAAATGGCGTTATGAGTCACGAATTTCTGAGGCAGACCCCGCCCACTTTGGTGCATGGTTAGCCCAACAATGGCATTCAACCCTACTCCATACCTCAATACTTATGCACATTTTCCCCGGTCGCCGGAACTTCTAGGAACCGAGTTATGAGAGCGGTGGCAAACTCCGCCCACATCCGGGTGTGCCACGCCCAGCGTTCACATTCAACCTCTACTCCTACTTTCACCTCTGGCGTATTTTTTTCAGGTCTCTAAGTCATCTCGGAGCCGAATTATGAGGTCTTGTAGGGGACGAAATCGAGCTACGTATCTTTGTGGCAAACCCCGCCCACTTTGGTGCGTGGGTCGCCCACTGATATCAGTCGGCTATCATCTCTTCCCCAACCTTTTTCTACTTTTCTCCCATCTCTGGAACTTATTGGAACCGAGTTATGAAGTACCGTGGCAAACCCCGCCCACTTTGGTGCATGCTCCGCCCGCCAACAACGGTTGACCCCTTTCCCTCTGCCAACCCTTATACGCTTTTTTCCCGGACTCCGGGACTCCTAGGAACCGAGTTATAAGCCTAATTGCAAACTCCGCCCACTTTGATGTAAGCCACGCCCATCCCTGACATTTAGCTTCCCCTCCCCTCCTGACCTCTATCCGTTGTTTTCCGGTCTCTAAGTCATCTCGGAGCCGATTTATGAGCTCTTGTAGAAAATGCTGTCCGCTTCACGACACGCTCCGCCCATTGTGGGCGGGCCTCCGTTCACATCATGCGTGGTGGAAATACCTTAGGCATTGCTCCCCTGCACTAATTTCGTTTCTGGTCTGTAGGCTTCCTCTTAACCGAGTTATGAATATTTTCACTGAGCACCCATTTTCTAGAGAACGCCCCGCCCACCGAGGGTGGGTCTCCTCAGTTCAATCTGGCTTACCAACCCACACCTATGCCCACTTTTGTCCCGGTCTCGAGGCTGTTTTGTGACTGAATTTGAAATGGTCCTCAGTAACATTTCGATGCACGCCACGCCCACTGTGGGCGGGGCTCCGCTTAGGCTGATGTGTGTTTTTTACTTCTAGGGATATGGTACACCCATCCCAAACTTGACCTGGACCCAGTAGGTTGTTGTTCCGCTTAATACGGAATTTCGTGACAGACAGACAGACAGACATAGCGCATATATAGTAGGGATAACTTCGTAAAATGTATGCTATACGAAGTTACACGTGTCTTAAAAAAGGAGTTGGAACGCGCTAAATTAACCCCGCTCATGCTTATATTGTACCAGTTGGCGCCGCACGCATTGCGCGCGCAACACAGATCTGCGGCGAATTTTGATGGTGCGACGAAAATTTTCAAATTTGGCTTGATACACCACGAATATCTGAATTCTCAGCTAAATTCTATCCGCTCCATCATCGACGGCTTTCAACCTCTTTTTCTTCGTCAACCATTATCCTGAGAAGCTATTTCGTGACAGACATACGGTCGACAGACAACAGACAGACGACAAGACGAAGCGCTTTATAGCAGTAAGTATGATGATAATTTTTCTTGATATTGCAGAAGAAGTTCATGTCCGGAGGATTCGCTTCGTCCGGCTCATCTGGATTCGTTTCTTTTGTAAGTTTTCACATTGCTTAGACAGTGTTTGAGTTGCTCTCAGTCCACTGACGTTAACCCATGGACATTAGCCGTTGCAAGTGCTGCGTCATCTTTTCTTTTTTTGGCGTTTTCTCTCCGGTAGTTGTTACCCCTCCAATGATTCCATTATCGGTAATGAGCACATTGTTTTGAGCCCGATAATTGTACACAGTCCATTCTATAACCTCAAAAACGCTAAGCATTACGGGGAGGGGATGAGAGGGCAACAGAAATGAGTACATTTTACTCATGGCATACATAACTTTTCATCACACAAGGTACCACTGTTGTTGAAAGTTCAGGACAGTACTCATTTCCTATAGATTCTTTTACAACCATAAGCAATCTCTCGTTCTTCACTATATGAAGTCATCCGCCATCCCGTCTCTCAAGGCGTCCTACAAAATAGTTTCTGTGGCAGCCATTTGGACGAGCTGCGTTGCCAACATCCATACAACTGGAGCATCTCGATTGGAGCGTGGATTTGGTATGGTGCCACCAAATGCGTTGCGATGAACTTGTTCATCCATTCGCTTTCTGAGCTGTCACCTGTTCATGAGTGAAAACCAACGGCCAAAAAAGGGGTCCCATTTTGCGGTTTCTTGACGGATTTCTCCGCTTTTTTCGCTACTGGCGTACCATTGAGCACCACCACGTCTCCTCTAAACCTTCTTGTACCTATCGTAATCGCTGCCTTTAAGCAAGATGAGTGTCCTACGTGTGCAAGCGTGGCACAATATTGTGTCACACGGTCATCAGATTAGTTTCAAAAGTGTCGAATATGCGACTTCTACGAGATTGTCAGATGAACTGGTAGTTGGTCATTCTGCTTTTTCCCTTCATTTTTGTTTATGAAACTTTCCGTTCACCTATTGTCAATTTCCAGGGCTCTGCGGTTGTCGAGAAAGAAAATGTTTCCGCCTTCGGTCCTATGGAGTTTCGCAGTGCAGAGAAAAATGGGGTGACCAGCGAGGGGGACGTGGTCGAAGTTTTGATCGTGATGGTCAGCGTTTCCGTGACAGCCGTGACGGCCGTGACAGCTATCGTGATCGCGATGGACGTGAAGGCAACCGTGATGGGTTTCGGTCCAGGGGAGGCTACGGAGGAGGCGGTGGAAGAGATTCGCAGGTGATTTCACTAGTTTCATTACTACCTATGGACGCCGCTTATAATGAGGGATTGCAGGGACGTAGCGGATTCAGAGGAAGCCGCATGTGAAATGCCTTTGATGTTGCTCACAATTTCCATGTTTATCATTTGTTACATTGTGTTACGTTTTTTCGATTAAAATGCATGTTTATATATTTGTTACGTATTTGTTGTATTTTGTAGAAGTTCTTATCCTATATGAATAATTTCCTACCTTAATGAAATACTTCCCTATTGACGTATTGTTTCGCCCGAGTGGTCACACCAAAAGATATCTCACTTCGTGGTTGAAAATGGTAGTCTACCATTCATTCATTCTTCTACCATGTTGTTTACCGCTTATCGGAGAACCTTCAATAGCTTCTCTTTTGAGGATCAACCCATTAGGAACTTCCGAAATTTTGAGGTATTAGTAAGTTCAATGACTTGACGTTTTTTTGGTCGATTTAGATTTATAACTATGTCGGGGATGGGGTGGCTCAAGGTTACTTAAAGTAACAACCCCAGAACAAACAGTTGAGATGACAACGGTTGATAATGAGGCGAGGGAACTACGTGTCTGGACATTTTCTTTAACACAGTTGCCTCTATCTCTGTACCTATCAACTCTCATAATCCACGTTACATGCTAGGGAGTGCGAAATATCTCGTCTAAGCAAGATTATTCGCCGAATGCTAACTTGTAAGACCATAGCGTCATTGTCGCGCACTTTCAAGCCGCACAACGGCACATTCGTGCTACTCGTGGGCTACTCTAACCCAATGAATAGATCTTCGACACTACTTCTGTCCGGGGTGTTACTGTGAATGTAGGGAAAGAGTGGGACCTGAAGGGCAGAGTACATGCATTCAAAATCGCACTTAACATTATTTAACTGTAAACATCTGTAGATATCTAGAAGAAGTAATACTCACCTCATACATTTAGTATAAAGATATTTGTTCAGTCACTTGGACTTTCTTTTCGCAAAAATTAGGTGGCCTAGGCAACACGATCTGTTTCACTGCAATACCAGACTACACTTCCGCGAATCGAACGTTGCACCAGCGAATCGAACTTTGCGCCAGCGAGTCGAACGATGATGTACCAGCGAGTCGAACTATGTAGGTACCAGCGACTCAATAGTGGCGGACCCAACGTTTAAAGGAAGCCCGCCACTTTCAAACAGCGTCCACTGTCACGTGACACTGTTTTGAAAGTGGCGGGCTTCCTTTAAACGTTGGGTCCCGCCACTATTGAGTCGCTGGTACCTAGTTCGACTCGCTGGTACATCGTTCGACTCGCTGGCGCAAAGTTCGATTCGCTGGTGCAACGTTCGATTCGCTGGCGCAACGCTCGGATCGAGCGATTCGCAAACTATGACATCGCAAACTGTTTCACTGCAATACCTCCAGACTACACTTCCGCCCAAGGGAGTACGAAAACTTTCTTTCCCAACGATGTTCATCTCTAGTGAAACTCGAAACAAATAGGAGTAATTTTAAAGTGGTTTGGTCCACCTTCTTGGCCTATTTCATGAATCTAAGTTCTGTAGCATGACGCACGAAAGGCTAGCTGCACGTGCGATGGGCAATTTGAGTTCTTGGAAGTGCTGCTACTATGAATGCTATCTATTTTTTTTTGCTGGAGAGACCGTTCAAATAATACTATCCTGAAATTCAAAGCCGTCGAGTCCACAGTTCCCACTCATTCTGGTATTCCAACGGCTGCAAGTAGTAGCGTTGTAAAATCCACTTACGGTTAGGCGAGGCTTGTGCTTTTATGTCTTACGGTACGCAACGCGCGTAGTTACGGCCTGGATACTACGATACGTCAAGGGTTATGGAGACCATGGAAAGGAGTGATTCAAAGGTTCAAAAAACTATTGTAATATTTGAACAACATTTCCTCATGTTTTCCCCACTTCTGCCGCTAATTGCTTGCGTAGTTGAGAAGCCCAGTGACGTGATGGTAGGGCCCTTAGGCATAACGGTAAGCCTAGAAGGGTAGGTAGAAGACATGGAACATGTCTTTGAACTGGCTTGTTAAATTTGTTTTGCCTTACAAGGTAGTTTGGTGGCATTTATTTCGATGGCCCAACGTTTCGAATGAATGGCCGCACTCACGTCAGAGGCTCTAGTCAGGTGTAAAACTGCCAGCCGACTTTTCCGCTCATACGGTTGAACCTTCGGCCCCTCCCCGGAGCAGCACGACGCTTCAGTCGAACGTTATGCCATTGAACTGCATGTTGCGCCAAACAACCTCATAAGGCGCAAAAAAATAAAAATTTCTAACTAACATGCCGAGATTGCAAGAAAAGAGAAGTAGAGGAATCCTTGAGCTGAGCGTTATCTTAGGCTGCTTTCATAGTCTGCGGTCCGTGCCGTCCGCGCCGTCCGTGCGGACCGCTCGGACAGGGTGAAAAACGTCAACACGCGCTCTGGCGCACAATGCGTACTTGGCGCGCAGTCGGCGCCTCCCTCGATCGATACCTCGATTTCGGTGCATTTCGTGCATTTTTCATGTTTGTTCGAAACGGCTCCCCCACTTTCTTCACGATTTGGGGCGCGGCCGCGGCGAGCGCGGACGAGTGGTAGTGCCCGCGAACTGTGCGGGTAAGGTTTGAAAACGGTCCACCAGCACAGTTCGCGGGCACTATCGACTCGTCCGCGCTCGCCGCGGCCGCGCCCCAAATCGTGAAGAAAGTGGGGGAGCCCGAAAGACATTTGTTCAAGTTGTTTTTCAAAAGACCACGTTGTTCCACATTTCTGTTAACTCATCACACTTGGACATTCGCCTCATTTAAAGCTTAGCGCGCTTGATTATTGGCACTACATCAGTACAAATTGAGCGCAAAACTGCATGCTTCTGAAGGTGGTCGTCCTCAAATTAGTAAGACGTTGAGGTGAAGGTAGGATTGACGCCAAAGCGGCTCAAGAGCGCTTCGCCAAATAAGAATCCGAAAGCGAAGAATTCAGGCACGAGCAAAGAGCTGTTCCTAAACTACTGTGACATCTAACCTCTTTTGAAAGAGGCTGCTTTATTTTGGGTGCTAACTTAGTTGGGGGGGGGCACGCGGCGGCGCGGCAGTCTGCTCACCTGGGCTCTCTCGAGCGAGACAGTGTAAACTCGAACATTCCAGCTTTTCACGCATGTCAAGTGACTGCCCCCACCCCCACCCCCTAGACTGCCTACACTCCCCCCTGGCCCACGGATTTCCGAACAGCTGCGGCCCCCCCCCAACTAAAAGTTGCACCTTTAGTTTTTTTTTTAAGTTAGCACCTTATTTTGGTGTAAGCTACATTAGAACGAACGTACAAGTGTTGTTTATTAATGCGAGAGATTGCTGACTTTTGTGTGACTCAGAATGGGAGAAATATTCAACAAAATCTGAAGCAGTTGCTCAAAGTAAAGGCAGGAGATTTCTGGACAATCTAATGGGAACGAGTGTGAAAACGAAAGGCAGCGATTACGATAAATTCAAGAAGGGTTTAGTGTGACGTGGTGGTGCTCAATGGTACGCCAGTAGCGAAAAAAGCAGAAAAATCCGTCAAGAAAACGCAAAACGGGACCCCCTTTTTTGGCCGTTGGTTTTCACTCATGAACAGGTAACAGCTCAGAAAGTGGACGTATGAACGAGTTCACCGCAACGCGTTTGATGGCACCATGCCAAACTACGCTTTAATCGAGATGCTCCATTTGCGCCGCTGCTGGCCACGCAGCTCGTCCAAATCAACAAGTAAACTAGTGGGCGGATCGCTTTTGGGGCGGAGCGCAGCGCACCTTTCGTTGTGAAAGCGCCACACCTCGCTTCCCTGGCAGCCAAGTAACTGATTCGTGTGGTGCATATGCTTCCCCGATGCGCTCCCTCTTATCGTAATCGCTTCCTAATAAGGATGTAGTTGCCTATGGTGTTTACGTTGAGGCGTAACCTTAAGGTACACCCTATGATAGTTGCGCACCTTTAACTGTTCTAATGGTGACATAAGAACATATTGCGACCCTACTCATTGAAGAAAGGATACAATGAGGGAAATATCGGGAGTGGGCAAATTGGCTCGATGGACTTAGGACTGAAAATTTGAATCGTTTGGTAGTGCGCTAATCTCGTAATGTTTATTTTGTTCTTATCAAGTTTGGAATTATTTAAAGCCAGCTGGCTTTCTCCGGAATGCTAGCATATTGCTAATCGATAAATCCTTGTTTACTACAGTGTTCATTTGTTGGCAATACTAGAATTTATGCAAAGGGCAAGAATTAACGGAAATCGTACAGGGTGGTAGAAAGAGCGTGTGATCGCCAATCTGAGCCAGCCATAATTCTTCCTAACACAGATTGTGGCCTCAAAACCTCGCGTCGCCGGTGGCCCCTCGGAACCGGTCCAGGGCCTCTCTTACCTTCCTCGGTTCACACCATGACATTTGATTAATATCTCTTTAGCACCACTCGCTTGATCAATTTTGGCCATTTCTCAATGTCCATGGTAAGTTGGTGACTCTCGTAGCCGTTAGTTCTTCCTACATCCGAGTTGAGCGACGTTTTCTATCTCCTAACTCCTATAGCGAATGAACTATTTTCTGGCACCAAATTCCGGTTTGTTTCGTAGTTCGATATATTGACCTGTTGAGAAGCCCTAAAGTAGTCATATGGTCTCTTGACCATGGCAAACGTTGGGTTTTCAGTTTTCCCATTTTAGGGTGCGAAAAGCCCAATGAAGAGAACGAGTTTCTGCATTGATATTTGACTTATCGTTAGTGATGGCTGTCCTTCAGCCATTGCCTTTTCTTTCTGAGGTAGTTCCGATCTTATGGTTCAAACAACTTTTGCATTACGTTGAACTGCTGCTATAGGTAGCGTGCTAGAACCACACCTTGCCAGAGATTCCTTAAAAAGTGGCCTTTACCGCGCACTCGTGGTTATCATTATTTTGGCTTACGCTGTTTAGGAATGTGCGCGTGATCCATGAAGTCGTCAATCGCCACAGAACCTCGGGGGAATTATTGCTTCTTACATAGCACATGACATAAGATAACGAATGAAGAAGCGAACATTACTACATTGCAAAAGATAAACGAAATTAAAGATGACATGAATACATTGCAAATTGCCGGCATATCCTTGAAGTTCGTGGTAGTAAATCATTCGTGTCAGCATGTCCG